TGCGCGCGAACGTGTCGCGCGGCCCGCCCAGGCACGCCGCGCACGACGGCGCCGCGGGCGTCGTGCAGCCGGCCTCCTCGAAGATCTCCGCCGCGGTCTTGCCGTCGCAGCCGGGGACGGGCATCGTGTAGACGTCGGCCCAGACCTTCTGGGTGGCCGGCACCAGGAAGGTGGGGACCTTCACCTGGCGCTTGGCGCGGTGGAAGAGCTTGGCTGCCGACATGAAGTCCTCGGTCTTGCCGCCTGGGGTGAGAGGGATGAAGGCGGCGCAGGTCGGTGGGGGGCGGGGGGCCAGGAGCCGGCCTGGGGCGACGGGGCAGCTGTGGGGCAGCAGGAGGGCCAGGAGCCGGCCTGGGGCGACGGGGCAGCTATAGGGCAGCAGGAGCTAAGGCGCACGCGGGCCGAGGAGGAAGGCGGCATCCCGGCGCACTCGCCCGGTGTTCGCAGGCGAGGCCGCCCGCCGCGGCGCACCTGTGCAGCTGCCGATGTAGACGCGGTCAATCTTGACGTCGCTGCACTCGCGCGCGAGCTTGCGGTTGTCGGGGCTGTGGGGGGCGGCCACCAGCGGCTCCAGCTTCGACACGTCCCACCTGCATGTGTGTGTGTGTGTGTGTGTGTGTGTGTGTGTGTGTGTGTGTGTGTGTGTGCACGCGTGAGTGTGTATGTGTGTGCGGACGGGTTGGGCCGGCGCGTCGGGTCTGCAGACTGGGTACCACCGGCTTTCGACTTGGTGCCAGCGGCTGCAAATCGCTGCCTACAAGCAAGTGGCTGGCATTGCCAATCACGCACACGGCACAGCCCAGCCAAGACCCTCCCTGGCCCCGGCGCCAGGCCGCTCTGGCCGCCATGTACCGCCGCCTTGCTCGCCCACTGCCCGTCCCCTTAGCCGCGCCCCCATCTGCGCCCGAGTCAGCTGCGGCTCCGCGCCGCAGCGGCTTTCGTATTTATGTCGAACACGCCCCTGTTAGTCACCTGTAGTCGTCGCAGAAGCTCGCGCCCGCATCAGTGTACACCGGCTCAAAGGCCTCGCTGGTCCGCGCCTTGACGTAATCAAACGTCGTCTGGTCGGGGGCGATGACGCCGTTCTTGCCGCCGGCCTCGACCACCATGTTGCAGATGGTCATGCGGTCGTCCATGTTCATCCGCTCCACCGCGCTGCCGCCAAACTCCATGGCCTGCCAAAAGCCGCACGGGTCGAAGAGCCCGTTGAGAAGGACAGCAGGCGGCCGAAAAGCCTGCAGGCGCCCACATTGCAGGTACGTGCCGCGAGGGCCCTGCAAGTGCCGGGCGTCGCCATGCCTGCGGCGTGTGCGTCGGGGTCAATTCCTCCCCCAACCCCCGCCCCCCCCCCCTCTCACCTTGTAGG